ACCTTACAGCAATCAACTAAAACAGCCATTAGCCTCATCTTCACCATTGGTTCAGCAAACCAAACTGACAATCTTCTCAAGGATAGATAGTTCCCTGAATGTGCACTTTCTGAAACCAATGGAATAGGATTCATTGCCTGCGCTTCAAGCACGGCCAGTAACTTATAATAATCAGACAACTCGTCTTGCAATGCAGCACAAAATGCCTGCCCAACAGTCCCAACATCCTCATCTGGAAACCGAGCCATAGTTTCTGTTATATATCCCTTCACTTTTCTAAACAACCACCCAATCTCGCAGAGCTTACGTACCAGAATCCCAGTAGCCCTTGACACCTTGATGAAATCTTGCAACACGTATGCATCTATCTTCTCGTCAAACTTCACATACATACCGTCAATCCCTTGGCATGCATATAATACATCCCTCACCAAAACCTCTTCTAGCACCTCGTTCTCCTCCTTTACCAAGTCTGCATATTCTCTATACGCCATTTCACGAATATTTTCTGGGTCCTTGGAAACCATCAATACACCTCCCTTTAATCCCGTTTTGACATTCTCTCCGACTCTCAATCCACTCAAATTATCACCTAAACGCTTCAAGTTACTAGAATAATCGCCCAGTGTTCCTTCACCTCGATTCTTCTTCAATTTTCCCATATTACTCAATGATTGAAAATTATAACCCTGACCCAACAGATTATCAGGACCATCCTTAAATTCTTCAATATTCAAATTCTTAATCAAGTTGCCAATACCCCCAGAATTATTATTAAATTCAGTGTTTTCAAGCAATGTAGGCAATCCACCAGCCAACGCAGAGTCTAAGAACCCACTAGAAATTATATTGGGGGATTGGTTTTTCCGTGATTTTAGATCCTCCGAAACTGTCTTGAGCAAATAGACAACAGCCCATTTGTTCTTTACGCTTCCAGGCCCGGATTTCAGTGAAAATTTGGAGTAAAGGTCAGCAAAAGTAAGGGCTTCGGAGGACTTACCGGCGGTAACAAGGTGGCGTTTGATGGACTCCACCATAGCGGATTCGTTAGAAACTATCGACGGGGTCATGCGGCTTGAGAGAATGCGGAGAGAGTATTTAAGAGCTTGATTGTATTTCTGTCTAGCGGGAACTGTAGAGGATGAAGAATTAGGGTTTTGAGCATTGTAGAGTAAGCGATGCACTAGTTCTTTAACCAGATCTACTATTCTCTGTTCGTCGTCTTCCATGGCGAACTGAAGGGAGTTGGGGGGAGGAAGAAGAGACGGGGGTTGGTCTGTTTAAGGTTTTCCTGCTTTTTGATTTTAATTTTAGGAGGTAAATTCAGGCGTTCCCATTCAAATTTTAATGAATTCTATAAAATAAAATCTATTAAAACTTTAGTTGTTCGTGAATTTATTAAAAAAAAAAATTATATTCATGGACTAATAAAAATATTAGTAGTAAATAAATTTGAATGTATTTCGAACTTATTTGGTAAATTTATGAATAGTTTATAGAAAAAAATAATAATAAATTTCACAAAATATGTAGGATTGGAAGAATTAATATTTGATTTTGTCTTAATTTACAAATTATATCCAAACGGTGGCTAAACACTCATAATTAGTTATTTAGCGGGGATGGAAAAAATTTTCACCATCTCGAGCAACGTGGGGATTTACCCTTTAATCGGGTCTGCAGGGTGGGAATGGGGACTCGAACCTACGCAATTCATACCTTAAAAAAATGTTAAAAATGAAAAAGAAAGATCATTATAGCAAGTTAAAGAAAACTTTTATCATTGCTAAGGGTCTATTTGATTGTGAAAATGAAATTTGGGTGGAAAGAAAATGAATTTCAGAGAATTGAATTACTTAGAAATTATTTTCCTGAGAATTGTAAATTATTGTGTTTGATTGGTATAATTTTTCACGTGGAAAATATTGAAGTAAAAGTGTTTTTTGGGGTTCGTTTGGCTTTGTTTTATATGGAAATTGTCAATTTAAGGGATATTCACTTCTATCATTGTTCCTAGAATTCGTTTCCATTGCCAACCAAAAAAGGGCAAAAAAAAAAAGAAGGAAAAAAAATATCAAAAAATATCTATATTTTGGAGTTCGTTTGATTTTGTTTTACATGAAAATTGTTAATTTCAAAGATATCATCTTTTACAATTATTTCTAGAATTTGTTCTCATTGCCAACAATTAAAAAAAAAAGTGGAAAACAAAAAACCACGTACCCCCAGAAAAATAAAAGGTGGAAAATCACGCTTTAAGGTGTTATATCTAGAAATTCATGGAAAATCAATTCTCTGAAAAATTTTGTCAATCAAAAAGCTAAAAGTAGAAGTTGGAATTTGAATTCCAAGTTTTATGGAAAATTTCGTGCAATCAATCGTGACCTAAATATTTTTGTACTTTCAACTCGTTACTCCAATTCACTTCATGCGTGCTTACAAATTTAGAATTAAACATTGTCGAGGTTGGCATAGGGAAGGCAAATGGGCCGAAAGATCTTGCTCGAGCAGCGCAAGTGAGGTAAGTCCACATTGGATTCTTAACTTATCTCTCTCGTCGAGGCTAGATAAATTTCCACAATCTTCCATGCTATTTTCTAATTGCTACCTCGTTCTTCATATTTGTTACCCTATTAAGTCAGTTTTTTTTTCTTTTTTTCTTTTTTTTTTTCCATAAGTTGTAAATTTGGGAATGGTAAAGCTACAGAGGCACGACCTATCATAAGAAGTTTATGTCACGTGACTTAAAAACCAATACTTTGAATCTAAGCTAATTTGATTTGATGAAAATTTTAAGATTGATAAAAAAGTTAAATCATTATTCATCGACTAATTTTGCGTATAAGATAAGATTGAAATAAAGTGAATTAAGACAATATTGTTAGTTTAATTTTAACACAACATCGTTATCTGATATAATATATTTACTTTGAATAATTATATGTTTGGAGAAACAACATATAACTGAATTTGATTATCAAAAAATAAGATTGGTTAAATGACAATATTTACTGTAAATAATAATAAGAAATAGTTATAAAGATTATTTGAAAAATCATCAAAATGTTTAGATATAAATTATGAAAAACACATTTTTTTTTAGTAACGAATTTCTTTAGAATCAACATATCATTTTGATCTTGTTCTAGGAGAAATAAATGAATACACAAAACCAACCTTTTGAACTTGAATTTATTTGATTCATTTAATTAAGGTACGAGTTCAATCTCGATGCCTTGGCCCATAGATTTAGCAATTTAAGTCCTACTTAAATTACTATAATGTAAGATCCTCCTCATTTCGTCTAATAAATTACCCAAGTCTTCCTTGTATATAGTTCACTGAAAAGAAGAGGAGAAATCAAAGAAAATCAATTGACAATCATAGCATCAAGCGTGAATGAATTGAATTACTTTCCACGAGCCTCTTATCCGTTATCATTGGGAGCAAATCCATTTATAAGAACTCACATTGGGTTTAGGGATAATCAGTCTCGAACTGATGATTTACACCACGTCAAGATGACACTCTATCGCTGAGTTATATCTTTGTTTTGTCCTCGTCGAGAAATAGAATTGACTAGTCCTAAATCAAAGGGTCGAGAAATTCAACACCACTATTCTAGAACAATTTATAGCCGGGCCTTCTTTTCGCATTATTACAGATATGAAAATAATGGTCAAACTTAGATTCAATTGTCAACTGTTATCGAAAATCTGATTGACTACCGGTTTCCACGGAACTAGAGTTACTAATTAATTACCTAAGTTTTCCTCGTATCTAGTCCAATGAAAAGAAGAGAAATCAAAGAAAATCAATTGACAATCATAGCATCAAGCGCGAATGAATTGAATTACTTTCCAACAATCAAACATTGATATCATATGAAATATAAAAGAAAATTCAATTAAATTAATCTGAGAAGACCACCACAAACATTTAAGCGCGTGAACGGAATTAAAACATTCAAAGAAACTCACATAATATTGAAAAAAAGAAAAAAAAAGAAGCATTTCTAGAACCTTGAAATTAGAGTTCTTCAGTAACCATACGTGAAATTTATTTTGTTGACTTAGAACACATGAAGATTCCGTTACTTTTAATGGTCACATTACTAGTTATGTTACATGGTTGAACGGAAGACTAATGAAGTTGCTAATTGCTCGTAAATTAAAGTACAACGGTCTGATTGCTTCGAATTAAAGTTTACAATATCGACGTGTGTGTGGGAACGCGCCTAATTATGATTTGATGTTGATAATGATATTTTTAATTTGTTGGAAGGAGCCAACTTTCCTGGTACATATTCATGCTACTCGATGGATAATTTGTAGACAAATGGACTAGTTACATTACAGAATGAGTCTTTTCCTAATTGCTCATGACAAAAACTGATAGCACTAGCCACAGTGAAACTCCAGCGACCGATCCCAGTGTCGCTTGTCCAAACACGCTTGACTTGCTGCTCGAACTTTTGCTGCTTGAACTTGTGTTAGGGTCTGCTGTCATACATCATCAAGAGTGTTGTTTATGAATCATGGAAAAAAAAAAAAAAGTAGGAGAATAAAGAAAACTTCACCTCCAGCACTTGGGCTGCTGCCAAATTGCTTGAAAACCTGAGCCTCTGGTGAGTTTGGAGCTAGATGTAGAAGATCTATACAAAACCCAGAAATGGTTTTCTTAAAATCTTAAATGTAAAGGTGGAAGTAGAAGAAAAAGTTAAGTTGTGGTTACCAGGGCAATCTGTGGCCTTCGACTTTACGTGGCAGAAGGAAGGGAGACGAAGTGCAAGCGTTGCGTTGAGTTTAAAGCCGAGGTTGGGCTCATTACGGTCTCTAACGAGGATGCAGAGACAGAGAGTGTTATTGATTAAGTCTTTACTGAGCTCAGTGCAGCAACTTGGAGTAGGAGTTTTGACATCTCCGGTAACATATTCGAGACACGAAGATAGACCCAGTAATTGGTCTTGGCACTGCGCTTTGTCGTGGGCAAAATCTGAGCTTACGCAGACAGCCATCATAAGAATTACAAAGGATAACACTCGTACACCTTTCCTGGCCATAGGGATCAAAATCTGTATTCTACCTCGGGTTTGCTCTTGTATATGTAGCATCGTAGAAACTTGTAGATCTAACAGGAGATAATATTTTAAAAGGGCATGCTTCATAAGTTATAAGCTGATTGGCAGTGATACAGGTTACGTGATCTATAGATATGAAGTTGACACTCGATTTCTGCTTTTTTATGCAGTTGGAGCTATCCGAAACTGACTTGAAAATAACACACTGCTCACTTTTCTTCACCAACTTGAGTAAAAATATTTATTGCTTCATTGGTGTTGTTTCTTGGTAGATTAGCAATGAGTATTTTATTTATACTGAAGATCAAATGACCGAGAAAACTTGAGATTATCAACTTGAACAACTTAAGTTA